CAACTATTGTCTAGACTGTTTATTGCATCCACACTTGCTGAATTTTTTTTTTATCTTAATGCAGGACGTATCTCCAGAATGTTTCTTTGCCGGTGTCTGTTGTGGTGGCTTGATCACTCTTCCAGTTCAGGTCATTGGGTTTAATTGTAATATTTTGCTGAAAATATCACCCATAAACACGCAAGCATACAAAAAAAAACTTCTTATCATTACTGTTTAGACGATTGGGTTGTTTCCAGATGAGATATTGAGTTTCAAGCATATCTGTTAATTTAAGTAAGAAGATGCATACTCAAGTGCAGATTGTGGATCTTCTGATGAGTACTCTAATTTTAGTTTGGAGTATATTCTACAAAATGCCTATGGAAGGAAGGCACTAGTACAGTTCTTAATTTTTCAAATATTGGTTCCAACTTGGTGCCTTGTTCTTCTTAGTTTCTGAAGGCTGTAGAAACACTCCTTAAGCGGCTAGTAACTGGCTAGCTAATGCCTTCTTGTTCTCTTCTCTTTTGAAGCTCAGTTGGGGATTGGATTCTTACTGAGAGAGCGTCCTGTGTTCGCCCTTGCAACTGTTGCAACCGTTGTGGTATATAATTGTGCTCATGTTCTGGAAATTGTTTGCCATATGCATTACGCAATCTAATCTTTGGAATTGTACAGGGAATTTGGACTGTGTTCCCCTATGCTGTGGCTGCTTCAACAGCATTATTCCTTTATCTAAGGCGACGCCTCTACTCTAGGTAGTCCTGCTTGTAAGTTTTTGCGGAATTTATTAGTCCCTGGGGATGAAGCAGACAAGAGCTATGGATTTGGTAGATAGGGGCTATGGATTTGTTCGTCTGGAGGGACTTTTTATTAATATAGTTCAGATGATTTTGCAATTACTTGTTGATTAATTATTCTTGCTTTTTCTTTGGTTTTACTGATAGGTAGTGGTGATAGGAACCAACTTAGAATGATTTACAAATTGATGTATAGCTAAGTAGTGTTGCCATTTTATCAAGGAAAATTTCCCCTTGTTCATTGTAGGTTAGATGTCCGTCTCTCTTTGTATTATGATTTTTGAAATACGAAGAGTTGTAAGTTTGTACCAATACATCATTTCACATCTGAAAATGTGACAATTATCAAGTATTCTTCAGTTTGCTTTTCCCCAACTGCTGTTTCACTCTCTTTGTTTAACATGAATCTGGGATTATCCAGATGCTTGGAGAGAACCTAGCCCCATATGCAACATTAGGTGTAGCAGGTAAAATATCATACTCTGGATTATCTTGCTCAATGAAGCTGTAGTGGGTCGGGTCCATTAATCTGATTGGAGGAAAACTCCAAGCTTTTAAGGAATGTGAATGCAAATANTCCCATCTTATGCAACGCAGCTAGTGCATCAACATGTGCATACAATGCTTGCTTTTCCTTGGATTTCACATCTTGTTTGATGATTTGTGCATTCTGATGTACAGTAGAACGATTTTCCCTTGGAGTGAGAAATCCGACAGCATTCCTAGCAGGAGCACTGGTTAGTAACTATGTCTTTGAGACTATGTTACTTTTCCATCATTTTACTATCACTTGAATCATTCTATAAGTCCCTGTTGCTGCAAGCCTGCAATATAAATTCCTTTTTTATTGTCTTATCACCTTCCGTCTTCACCTTCAGTCTTGTTTAACTCTATTATGATTGGTGGTTNGCCCATCTTATGCAACGCAGCTAGTGCATCAACATGTGCATACAATGCTTGCTTTTCCTTGGACTTCACATCTTGTTTGATGATTTGTGCATTCTGATGTACAGTAGAACGATTTTCCCTTGGAGTGAGAAATCCGACAGCATTCCTAGCAGGAGCACTGGTTAGTAACTATGTCTTTGAGACTATGTTACTTTTCCATCATTTTACTATCACTTGAATCATTCTATAAGTCCCTGTTGCTGCAAGCCTGCAATATAAATTCCTTTTTTATTGTCTTATCACCTTCCGTCTTCACCTTCAGTCTTGTTTAACTCTATTATGATTGGTGGTTGAGTAAGTTGCTTTGTGTTCAATGCACTATTCACTTATTTCCATCTGAGCCAGGTGGTTGTCAGTTCCTAATATACACATACATGCAATTTAATGTTGTATGCTGATAAAGCACTTGTTTGAAGTATTTTGATGGGATCTGATACTTGCATTAACCTTTGCGGAATTGTAAAAACGTACACCATCTGTTTAGTGGGAGTTGTTAAACCTTTCTTTTTTGTAACTAGTCTATTTTCTCTAAACCTTAAGGCAATCTCATTTTGATGACATTTTTAATCTTCTGTTTGCACCACCTACTGCACTGTCTTTTGTACAGTTACTTCAGTTTCAAGCATTCTATAGTGATCTATCATACATATGCATTTGATTATTGAACTTCTTTCCCCATCTGATTCTTTGACATGTCAGATAATTTTTTTTTTTTGCTATTGTCATGTCAGATAAAATTCAACTATTGTCTAGACTGTTTATTGCATCCACACTTGCTGAATTTTTTTTTTATCTTAATGCAGGACGTATCTCCAGAATGTTTCTTTGCCGGTGTCTGTTGTGGTGGCTTGATCACTCTTCCAGTTCAGGTCATTGGGTTTAATTGTAATATTTTGCTGAAAATATCACCCATAAACACGCAAGCATACAAAAAAAAACTTCTTATCATTACTGTTTAGACGATTGGGTTGTTTCCAGATGAGATATTGAGTTTCAAGCATATCTGTTAATTTAAGTAAGAAGATGCATACTCAAGTGCAGATTGTGGATCTTCTGATGAGTACTCAAATTTTAGTTTGGAGTATATTCTACAAAATGCCTATGGAAGGAAGGCACTAGTACAGTTCTTAATTTTTCAAATATTGGTTCCAACTTGGTGCCTTGTTCTTCTTAGTTTCTGAAGGCTGTAGAAACACTCCTTAAGCGGCTAGTAACTGGCTAGCTAATGCCTTCTTGTTCTCTTCTCTTTTGAAGCTCAGTTGGGGATTGGATTCTTACTGAGAGAGCGTCCTGTGTTCGCCCTTGCAACTGTTGCAACCGTTGTGGTATATAATTGTGCTCATGTTCTGGAAATTGTTTGCCATATGCATTACGCAATCTAATCTTTGGAATTGTACAGGGAATTTGGACTGTGTTCCCCTATGCTGTGGCTGCTTCAACAGCATTATTCCTTTATCTAAGGCGACGCCTCTACTCTAGGTAGTCCTGCTTGTAAGTTTTTGCGGAATTTATTAGTCCCTGGGGATGAAGCAGACAAGAGCTATGGATTTGGTAGATAGGGGCTATGGATTTGTTCGTCTGGAGGAACTTTTTATTAATATAGTTCAGATGATTTTGCAATTACTTGTTGATTAATTATTCTTGCTTTTTCTTTGGTTTTACTGATAGGTAGTGGTGATAGGAACCAACTTAGAATGATTTACAAATTGATGTATAGCTAAGTAGTGTTGCCATTTTATCAAGGAAAATTTCCCCTTGTTCATTGTAGGTTAGATGTCCGTCTCTCTTTGTATTATGATTTTTGAAATACGAAGAGTTGTAAGTTTGTACCAATACATCATTTCACATCTGAAAATGCGACAATTATCAAGTATTCTTCAGTTTGCTTTTCCCCAACTGCTGTTTCACTCTCTTTGTTTAACATGAATCTGGGATTATCCAGATGCTTGGAGAGAACCTAGCCCCATATGCAACATTAGGTGCAGCAGGTAAAATATCATACTCTGGATTATCTTGCTCAATGAAGCTGTAGTGGGTCGGGTCCATTAATCTGATTGGAGGAAAACTCCAAGCTTTTAAGGAATGTGAATGCAAATATAAAATCCTCATGGCTATTTAATTCCTAGAAAGACAGGCTCCTGATGTATATGTGCAGACATTGGATGAGTTGAACAGAGTTACAAGCAATCTTCTTTTATCTCTTAGCACTGGTGGTTTATGACAAGGTGAACCATTTTTCTTGTAGAATCTACAACTCTTCTTACTTGGTTTGGAGGATAAGAATTACCAATCAAGAAGCAACAAGCCCTTTGTCTTTATTTCTTAATTTGATGTTCTGCTCCATTAAGAACAAATGTGTGCCTTTCCTGAAGTTCTCAACTTGCTTGGCACAGTTGCTACTTATATGTATTTGGATTAATTGCAAAGTATAGAGTTTGTCTTATTTTGGTATTTCAATATTTTAATTGCATTATTTTATTCTCTATAATATTGAATATGTTTTTATATGGTCCCTTAAGCAGATAACATCTAAATTACTAACGATTTTTTTATCATAAACTTATCACATGATACCTAAATATGGGCAAAAAATAACTTGGGTAGTACTTTACCAAAATTTGGGTAATCTTGGCCAAAAATGTGTACTATTGGTAGTTTTTTACCAAAATTTAGATTACTCATTATCAAAACTGTGTAATTTGAGTAGCTATTTAATTAAACTTTTGGTAGAAATTTGATCAAAAGTTATCCAATTTTTTTTTTCTCATATTTAGGTATTAGGTGACAAGTTTATAATAAAAAATCGTTAATAATTTAGACACTGTTTACCTAAGGGATCACATAAAAATATATTTAATACTTCAAGGACTATAATGATTCAATTAAAATATTAAAGACCAAAATGAGATAGATCTCACATTTTAGGGATCTTCGGTGCAATTAACCCAAATAATTTTTATGGTTTTGTCATAAACAAGAGGGATGTTCTCAACTCAATTCAACAAAGTTTTATCCCACTTTAACTTAACTTTGCCGATGTATTTCTATGCATAGCCGGTCTTAAGCTCCAATAAAGAAACAGAGTTGTGTTAAGTAACTGACAACCAGCGTAATATAAATTAATTAAATATCAACTCAAAAACATTTTACAAGGTAAATTATACCTCACACCTCTATTAAGAGCAGCTTACTTTTTACATATACATAAGGAAAACAACCATATAGAAAATATAAATTGACATATAACTTTCACATTACCGATTGGATATATCAATTTAGAAGTCCACCACAAGCAAGATATGAGAGCTGAATGCTGTAGGATTCTTTCAGCTCTGCCAATACTGCAGCAATGTTAGGCCTTCGCGATGCATCCCTCTCTACAGACCTTGAAGCAATCAAAGCTGCCCTTCTCATGCTCTCGACATCAAAGCTTCCCTTCAAGCTCTCATCCACTATCTCAAATGCTCCTGCCTGCAAGTATGGCTTGGCCTGCATTTGGCAAAGTAAATGACACTACCATATTATTTTGCTTATCAATGTTGCACTATCTAGATGTCTAAAGATATGTTCAAATCAGAATTCTATGCATCTCTTCGGTAATACAATATAAATTACTCGAGAAAAAACTGAACACATGACTGTTAAACTATCTTCATAGAAAATCGTCATAGTCTATATTGTAGAAAAACAAGTCAGACAAGGCTCATTGACTACATCTAGCTGTATAAAAATATACATAAGATGTTTTGCAAGATAGATCAACAAAAGCCTTTTATTTCATAGAATAAGCAAATGTACAGAATTAAAAAAGTGGAAAAGACACCCAGAAGAGGGAAAAATTATAGTAAGTAAAAGAAACTATCACAAACAGATTTCCAATTATGTTGAAGAACCAATAAAAGTAGTATCACGACATTCATTAGAAAGTTGATACCCAAAAGATGCCAAGAACTTCACTCTATCCAGTAACAATTCATTTTCCTCCTCTTTGCCTCCAAAGATTCTATGTTCCTCCCCATCAATACCACCCAAAAAATGATCAAAATAGAACACTCCCGGTGTTTGCTCTCTCTTTAAGATTTTCTACTGAAAAATGACTGGCAACTACAAGTCAAGAAGGTCTATCTAATTGCATTTTTAGGGAAACTTTACAATTGCCCATTTTTTATCAAGAAATCCATAGAATTTATAAATATAGCTAAAGGCACATAAAAACTCTGATTCTAGTGAGTAAAAGTATATGTCAAACTGTAAAGAAGCAGAACAAAGTATGCTATCAATAACATTGAAACCAATGATCATTAGCAGACTTGAAAAGGAATTTGGATTACCCATAGAACCAAATTAAAGGAGTCTGGAGTTCCAGAGCGACTTAATGGTTCTCGACCACAAATGAGCTCCAAAAGAACAACCCCAAAACTGTATACATCACTTTTTTCTGTCAATTGTTGGGTGGAATAATATCTGCACATATTGAATAGTGAAGGTGAGGCTGAGGTTCAGAGTCATCAAGAATCAAGTAAAACACAATGTTAAAAACTTACTCAGGATCAAGATAGCCAGCAGTGCCCTTGACAACAGTAGTCACATGAGTTGCATCAGCTTGGGTTATTTGTTTAGAGAGGCCAAAGTCACAGACCTTTGCATTCATCTCTGTGTCCAAAAGTATGTTGCTGGACTTCACATCCCGGTGGATGACTCGTGGCTCACTCCCATAGTGTAAGTAGTCCAACCCTGTCAAAGATATTGAAAATGAGACAGTAACTCCAAAAAAAAATTAAAAATCAGATATTTCACAGACAAAGAACGATTGAGTGAAATCCCCCCCCAAACCCCCCAAGTTAAATATAAGACTATCAATTGCATGTTGATAAACTTAAAGAAAGTAGAAGGTTTTCCTTTTTTTTTCTTTTTATTCTGTTTCTACTCTTCCCTTGCTCTGCCTGGAGGTTGAAAATAGAATATTCTCTACATACCTTTTGCAGCATCAACAGCAATTTTCAGTCTGCGGACCCAACTTAATGTTATTCTTTTACTATTTGAACCTGAAATGACAGTTTGTAAATACCTATTAGAATCATAAACAATGTAATGGAGGATATACAGGCAGAATAAGAAAGTGAATTTGATATTAGTAACTGGATACAACAGAATACAACAGAACCACAGAAAATAGAAGTCAAGTTTTGTTCACTTACCATAAAGGTTATCAGCCAACGATCCACCAGGCAAGTATTCATAAACTAGTATCTGCTGCTTTGCTTCGTGACAAAAGCCTTCTAGAGATACAAGATTCTGATGACGAACTTGGGACAAAAGAGACACCTAGGTAACAATCCATGACATGGTAAGTAAGGCAGCCNCAAGTATTCTTCAGTTTGCTTTTCCCCAACTGCTGTTTCACTCTCTTTGTTTAACATGAATCTGGGATTATCCAGATGCTTGGAGAGAACCTAGCCCCATATGCAACATTAGGTGCAGCAGGTAAAATATCATACTCTGGATTATCTTGCTCAATGAAGCTGTAGTGGGTCGGGTCCATTAATCTGATTGGAGGAAAACTCCAAGCTTTTAAGGAATGTGAATGCAAATATAAAATCCTCATGGCTATTTAATTCCTAGAAAGACAGGCTCCTGATGTATATGTGCAGACATTGGATGAGTTGAACAGAGTTACAAGCAATCTTCTTTTATCTCTTAGCACTGGTGGTTTATGACAAGGTGAACCATTTTTCTTGTAGAATCTACAACTCTTCTTACTTGGTTTGGAGGATAAGAATTACCAATCAAGAAGCAACAAGCCCTTTGTCTTTATTTCTTAATTTGATGTTCTGCTCCATTAAGAACAAATGTGTGCCTTTCCTGAAGTTCTCAACTTGCTTGGCACAGTTGCTACTTATATGTATTTGGATTAATTGCAAAGTATAGAGTTTGTCTTATTTTGGTATTTCAATATTTTAATTGCATTATTTTATTCTCTATAATATTGAATATATTTTTATATGGTCCCTTAAGCAGACAACATTTAAATTACTAACGATTTTTTTATCATAAACTTATCACATGATACCTAAATATGGGCAAAAAATAATTTGGGTAGTACTTTACCAAAATTTGGGTAATCTTGGCCAAAAATGTGTACTATTGGTNGTTTTTATATGGTCCCTTAAGCAGATAACATCTAAATTACTAACGATTTTTTTATCATAAACTTATCACATGATACCTAAATATGGGCAAAAAATAACTTGGGTAGTACTTTACCAAAATTTGGGTAATCTTGGCCAAAAATGTGTACTATTGGTAGTTTTTTACCAAAATTTAGATTACTCATTATCAAAACTGTGTAATTTGAGTAGCTATTTAATTAAACTTTTGGTAGAAATTTGATCAAAAGTTATCCAATTTTTTTTTTCTCATATTTAGGTATTAGGTGACAAGTTTATAATAAAAAATCGTTAATAATTTAGACACTGTTTACCTAAGGGATCACATAAAAATATATTTAATACTTCAAGGACTATAANTAATTAAACTTTTGGTAGAAATTTGATCAAAAGTTATCCAATTTTTTTTTCTCATATTTAGGTATTAGATGACAAGTTTATAATCAAAAATCGTTAATAATTTCGACACTGTTTACCTAAGGGATCACATAAAAATATATTTAATACTTCAAGGACTATAATGATTCAATTAAAATATTAAAGACCAAAATGAGATAGATCTCACATTTTAGGGATCTTCGGTGCAATTAACCCAAATAATTTTTATGGTTTTGTCATAAACAAGAGGGATGTTCTCAACTCAATTCAACAAAGTTTTATCCCACTTTAACTTAACTTTGCCGATGTATTTCTATGCATAGCCGGTCTTAAGCTCCAATAAAGAAACAGAGTTGTGTTAAGTAACTGACAACCAGCGTAATATAAATTAATTAAATATCAACTCAAAAACATTTTACAAGGTAAATTATACCTCACACCTCTATTAAGAGCAGCTTACTTTTTACATATACATAAGGAAAACAACCATATAGAAAATATAAATTGACATATAACTTTCACATTACCGATTGGATATATCAATTTAGAAGTCCACCACAAGCAAGATATGAGAGCTGAATGCTGTAGGATTCTTTCAGCTCTGCCAATACTGCAGCAATGTTAGGCCTTCGCGATGCATCCCTCTCTACAGACCTTGAAGCAATCAAAGCTGCCCTTCTCATGCTCTCGACATCAAAGCTTCCCTTCAAGCTCTCATCCACTATCTCAAATGCTCCTGCCTGCAAGTATGGCTTGGCCTGCATTTGGCAAAGTAAATGACACTACCATATTATTTTGCTTATCAATGTTGCACTATCTAGATGTCTAAAGATATGTTCAAATCAGAATTCTATGCATCTCTTCGGTAATACAATATAAATTACTCGAGAAAAAACTGAACACATGACTGTTAAACTATCTTCATAGAAAATCGTCATAGTCTATATTGTAGAAAAACAAGTCAGACAAGGCTCATTGACTACATCTAGCTGTATAAAAATATACATAAGATGTTTTGCAAGATAGATCAACAAAAGCCTTTTATTTCATAGTATAAGCAAATGTACAGAATTAAAAAAGTGGAAAAGACACCCAGAAGAGGGAAAAATTATAGTAAGTAAAAGAAACTATCACAAACAGATTTCCAATTATGTTGAAGAACCAATAAAAGTAGTATCACGACATTCATTAGAAAGTTGATACCCAAAAGATGCCAAGAACTTCACTCTATCCAGTAACAATTCATTTTCCTCCTCTTTGCCTCCAAAGATTCTATGTTCCTCCCCATCAATACCACCTAAAAAATGATCAAAATAGAACACTCCCGGTGTTTGCTCTCTCTTTAAGATTTTCTACTGAAAAATGACTGGCAACTAGAAGTCAAGAAGGTCTATCTAATTGCATTTTTAGGGAAACTTTACAATTGCCCATTTTTTATCAAGAAATCCATAGAATTTATAAATATAGCTAAAGGCACATAAAAACTCTGATTCTAGTGAGTAAAAGTATATGTCAAACTGTAAAGAAGCAGAACAAAGTATGCTATCAATAACATTGAAACCAATGATTATTAGCAGACTTGAAAAGGAATTTGGATTACCCATAGAACCAAATTAAAGGAGTCTGGAGTTCCAGAGCGACTTAATGGTTCTCGACCACAAATGAGCTCCAAAAGAACAACCCCAAAACTGTATACATCACTTTTTTCTGTCAATTGTTGGGTGGAATAATATCTGCACATATTGAATAGTGAAGGTGAGGCTGAGGTTCAGAGTCATCAAGAATCAAGTAAAACACAATGTTAAAAACTTACTCAGGATCAAGATAGCCAGCAGTGCCCTTGACAACAGTAGTCACATGAGTTGCATCAGCTTGGGTTATTTGTTTAGAGAGGCCAAAGTCACAGACCTTTGCATTCATCTCTGTGTCCAAAAGTATGTTGCTGGACTTCACATCCCGGTGGATGACTCGTGGCTCACTCCCATAGTGTAAGTAGTCCAACCCTGTCAAAGATATTGAAAATGAGACAGTAACTCCAAAAAAAAATTAAAAATCAGATATTTCACAGACAAAGAACGATTGAGTGAAATCCCCCCCCCAACCCCCCAAGTTAAATATAAGACTATCAATTGCATGTTGATAAACTTAAAGAAAGTAGAAGGTTTTCCTTTTTTTTTCTTTTTATTCTGTTTCTACTCTTCCCTTGCTCTGCCTGGAGGTTGAAAATAGAATATTCTCTACATACCTTTTGCAGCATCAACAGCAATTTTCAGTCTGCGGACCCAACTTAATGTTATTCTTTTACTATTTGAACCTGAAATGACAGTTTGTAAATACCTATTAGAATCATAAACAATGTAATGGAGGATATACAGGCAGAATAAGAAAGTGAATTTGATATTAGTAACTGGATACAACAGAATACAACAGAACCACAGAAAATAGAAGTCAAGTTTTGTTCACTTACCATAAAGGTTATCAGCCAACGATCCACCAGGCAAGTATTCATAAACTAGTATCTGCTGCTTTGCTTCGTGACAAAAGCCTTCTAGAGATACAAGATTCTGATGACGAACTTGGGACAAAAGAGACACCTAGGTAACAATCCATGACATGGTAAGTAAGGCAGCCCAGGACAATTGTTAATAAAAACCAAACAATCGTGGGAATTTTAAAAAACCTCCCCCGCCATGTGATTTGAACTCAAATTTGGCCTCGTGTTTACAAGCCAGATTACCAAATGCCCAGTGACAAATACATTTATATGATTGCAAACGGCTGCAAGACCAAGTATAACCAATACCAATTATATTGAGATGACTCACGATAGTCTAACAATTTCCTATAACCGATAACTGTAAAGGGAAATCTCTGAGCCTGTTAAAGATAACATCATACTAAGTAATGAATCTGTAAAAGATCTGCAAATTCATCCATAATATTCTGGCAAGAATACTCAGCTTGCACTTACTAATGAGTAAAAGATCAATAAAATAAGATGCTTAAGGAAGGAAGCTGATGAACCTCATTGAAAAAAGAATCAACCCCAAGTTGAGTTTTATCGAACCGCACTTTCACAGCAACTAGTTTTCCATCTGGAAGTTTTCCAAGGTAAACAGATCCAAAACTACCACGGCCTATAACCTCCTTAAAGTTGTTTGTAGCCACTTTGATTTCTTTGTAGGAGAAGACTTTTGCTGCATTCCAGTTCCGCATCTCTGACACTGATCCTAAACATTGATACATGATCCTGTTAAGAATAAAGCAATGAAATTTGATTGTGAACAGCATATCAAGTTTTTCATACTTGCTGTGTATGTCGCTTCAGTTTTCTTTCGCCTCGTGTACAAGAATACTGAAAAAGAAATAACAAAAAGAGCAAGTGCGACTCCTCCAACTGCACCAAGTATAACTGCCAAGTGATTTTGGCCCTTCTTATGCTTGCTTTTGGTAAATACAGTGACTTGTGGTGTCTCGATTGAAGGATTTATTGAAAACTCATTGCATGTCAATGTGGAGAAGGAAAGGCATAAATTCCCCGATGTTCTGCACCGAATTAGTGCATCAAGAGGCTGTTATCTGAAGCAGAAACAACAACAATAAATCTGAAGCATAGACAGCAAGAATATCAATCCCATACCTAACTTCCAAACTTTCTCTGTTTAAAGACTGCGGGAGGGGGCCTTGTAATTTATTGTGTTCCAGATTCCTGAAGAGGACGTCATAAAAAATCATGAATTGTTGATCCAGTTTCACGCTCTCCACTTGGTGAAGTCGCTTAAGTTTTCCAGACAAGTTTCCAACAGTAGGAAAGAACTGTACTGCATCATAGGATAATTGGATTGTGTTCACTTACAGTAAGTGAAGGTCCTTCAACTCTCCCAAGCTATCAGGAACCATTCCCTGTAATCTATTATTGTGCATGTCCCTTCATTTAGACAACACATTAGTATCACCTTTAACTAAAATCTCTCGGTGGTGTAATGAAATAATGGAACAATCGACAGTTAATTTCTGTCAGATATGGGTGCAGAGTGAAAACTTACAAAATTTGAAGATTAATCAAGTCTTCCAATTCAGAACCAAAGGATGTCAGCAGATTGAAACTCAGGTTCCTGCGATGTTCAGTTCATGAATGTTCGAGTAACGCATTCTAAAGAAACAAATTTGGAGAATAAGTACTCCACAAAGAATTACAGTTTTTCAAGGCGCTGCAGGCCACCCAAGTTCTGAATCTCTCCAGCAAGTGATGTATTATGCAAATCTCTGCAAGCATGACACCCAAAAAATAAATGCAGGAAAGAGAGTATGAATTGACTATGATCAAAGCAGCGTAAACTAACTTATTAACATAATCAATACAGTAAATTCTGTAAAAACAAACTTACAGTGTTTTAAGATCTAACAAATCACCAAATGTAGGGCTGATTGACCTCAAATTGATGTTAGAAAGTTCCCTAAGATGAGGTTGAAACAAGAGCAATAACGCTTAGAGAGAAGACAATAAAAAACTAGAAAACAACCTAATAATATTTGCATACAGTGAAGTAACCAAACTTCCTTCGCAGTTGATGTTATTCCATGGTATAGGAGAACATGGATCATCTTGCCATCCCAGATCTAAACCAGTGGACTGCTGAATAACCTGAAGTGCTNATTCCATGGTATAGGAGAACATGGATCATCTTGCCATCCCAGATCTAAACCAGTGGACTGCTGAATAACCTGAAGTGCTGAAACTGTCAAAATATATCGAGACAAGTAAGATCGGATGACTCTTGCAGTGGAAACAAACCAAGCAAGTATGCAAAATCATGAATAATTGAACCTGTAGTTGAAGAAGACTCTGGGGGAACATCAACAATCTCATACACCTCAATTGCGTTGACCATTGGGTTGAAGCTGATAGTCTTCAATGTGATGTTCAAGTTTTTGATTTCCTTCTGAGTAAAGAATAGAGCACTGACGTCCCCGCTCTTCACCGTATAGTTTGGCTGAACAACATCTCCGTTAATCAACACATCAAACGTCGGGGAAAGAGGAAGGATCCCAGCAAAATAGAGAACAATGTAGTAGTCTCCAGTGTTATCAAGAGGAAAGTTGTACACCAATTCCTCCCGTCTTGACAAGACTCTAGCAGTTTGAAGAACAGCCATGGGAGGATTATCTTGAAGAGTTGACAAATTGAAGGTGCTTTTAACAGCAAAGCCAGTAGACAAATGAAAGGGAGAAAAATTCTCATCAGCATCCCATATACGATCATAAGGATCCAAAGGGTACCTGTCATTANCAGCAAAGCCAGTAGACAAATGAAAGGGAGAAAAATTCTCATCAGCATCCCATATACGATCATAAGGATCCAAAGGGTACCTGTCATTACAAAAACCAATTTCCAAAACTTCAGCAGATATGCAAAGAGGGAAAAAAAAAAAACCAATGTCCTGCGGGGTCTTCTCCAGATGCACGCAACCTCACCCCACATACAGAGTGACTGTTTCTGCAACTCAAATCCGAATGNTACAAAAACCAATTTCCAAAACTTCAGCAGATATGCAAAGAGGGAAAAAAAAAAAAACCAATGTCCTGCGGGGTCTTCTCCAGATGCACGCAACCTCACCCCACATACAGAGTGACTGTTTCTGCGACTCAAATCCGAACGCAACCACATGGTAGCAACCTTACCAATACACTAAGGCCTTATAGATAACGCAAACCAAAATCAAATGAAATAATGGAGAAAAAATTCTCACCGCAGTGAACCATTTGTGTCTCCACAGTTGATTCGATAACTCTTCCTAAGTAACTTATTGGGGAAATCCTCCATGCCCTCGTTATAAGCTCCTTGCGGAAGTGGCCGAACTTCAAGATATGAAATAGCAGGAAATCCACCATTGGGGATCGAATGAAAACACAGAGGGAGACTATCTTTATTAACAGGCAATATAAACTCTTCGATCCACGGATCATTTTCGGTGAGGTTCACAGTGGTAGTAACAGCAGTACCAAGAGAAACAGAGAAGGCAGGGGGTTTTCCAAGTTCATCATAGTTCTTGTACACAAATTGGGTCCTAACAAGAAGCGAAGATGATACAATTTTTGTGGGCAGCCTGTAACAATTTCGAGCTTGGGAATCGGGGAAGAACCGGACTGGAAGTTGAGACGAGGAAGTACCCTCTATGTAATCAACAGTAGTTGTGTTGCCAATTGTCACATAAGTACTATCTGGTACCCATGAAATGTTGGACGAATCAATGAAACTCGAAGTTCCTCCGCAAGACAAACTCAAGAATCCTGTTCCATTTATACCTCATAAGCAACATCCGAGCCTTAAAGAATGTGTCTGTGTGTGTGTGTGTGAGAATTGAGAGAGAGAGAGAGCTAAAGCAAGGACAGGAAGCTTTGTAAGTCCTACTATTAACATTATCCATTAACACAAAGCAACACATGCCCAAGTCTAAACTGGGGTAATTTAGACTACATTTGGAAACTTGATGGACGAAAGAGCTGCAAAATGCAATTGAATGTGAAGGGAAAGTAAAAGGCAAACAATGCATACCGTCTTGATCACAGAAAGCAACTTTGCCTAAGCAATAGAATAGTAAGAACCCAAACCAGAAACCCCAATGCAGTTCCATGAAGTGGGCAACTCAACAATGCCAAAGAAACTGGTCAAGAAGTTCTGAAATGAACTGTTTCGTGAGAAGAACAATGTCTTGAAAGAACAGGTGAATATTGCACAACATCAACAACAAGAATAAGAGAAAGTTGGGATTGAGACAAAGGGGTTATGCTTCTTGGGTGACCACTTGATGTGAGCAAATAAGTGGAGGAGAGTTATGATGGCGGTTCTGTGAGCTTTGGAGAGAGAGAGAGTTTGTTATCATGAAGGCGGGGAAGGTAATCATGAAACAAGGTGATGATTGTCTCCGTTAGGTGATAGTAACAGTAGTAATAGGACAAAAGTAGAAGCAGAATGAGGACCAGAGTGGCCACCATGCAGATGATGTGCAAGAATTACACCAACCTCCATCTCTCTCTCTCTCAAATCCTTCTTGTTTTTTGTTTTTGACTCGAACAGGCTAAGTCATTGCTACGGTTAGAGAAAGACCAAATCACTGTCCTCTTCATTCTGTTGAGTAATTGAAATCACCCGTTTACTACATTTATAACTTATACCCAGAAATCACTAATGGCAACATGTATGTGTGTGTGTGTATATATATATATATATTATTTTGGTACATTGGAAAGTACCCATGTTTGTATTCAATTTGCTTTCATTTTCACTCTTCTTCCAGCAAATGGGAAAAGATAGAAGAGTGCATAGCAGCTGGTCAGCTGAAGAGTAAGACTATTTTTTTCCACAGATGTTGGACCCACCAGGAAGAACCAAAGATTGGCCAATTCTTGCTCAAGACTCTGGTGGGATGATGCATAGGATGCTTATAAGTCCAGCAAGGGAGAAATGATTGATTTTGTAATTGTAATCCCCCTTTTTAGCTTTGCTTTTAAATCCATACTCCATTAGTAGGACTATCTTCCTAATCAAGCTAAATCAATTTCAACTGCCCAAAATCAACTCTTTCCACAGCCTACAGAAACGCAAAGATGATGATACTATAGTTATCATTATGCATCATTATCAATGTGAATGAAGCATATTTTTGTTCTTTTTCGTAGGAGGTAGGAGTCTAATTTTGGTGAAATGGGCTTTATATCTCAGCCCAGTTTAACTTGCACTATTTAGGACGTGGAAGAGATTTGCAATATTCGGGTTATGCTTATTTCAATTACTCTTTCAAGCTTTAAACCGACCACCATAAGAATCAAATTCAATTTGAAGCCAAATTTTAAGACCATAAATTGAATCTGTAAATTGAACGTCAGTCCAAGTCTCTAGTTGACATTAGGTTGGGTATTTTGCAATTTGGGCTGAATTCAAATTAAACTTTCACCCCTCCAATATTCTGATTCAATATTTTCTTTTTCTTCAATTGTACATGTGAGAGTTTCAGTTTAACTTACCGGTAAGAAGCATGTAATCCAAAAATGCACAACAATTTCTCTCGATTCAAAGTAGAAAAACCACTCCTCGCAACAGCCTGAGGCGCTGATGCAAGCAAGCATCATCAGTCCTATCACTGTCAATTGGGTGCTGGATAACTCCAGTGAAAAGAGGACCCAAATTGGAGGTAGGCTTTTAGTCCGACTCCCTCTAGCCTGTCTTCAGATACCCTTTTTGGGCAATACCATGTCAATGCGAACAAACTTATTGCGCATAACATTTTTTCATCATTGTTTATTTGGACAACTTGAAAATTACAGGAAGTTCCCTCAGAAGCCTTTCAAGATAAATGGATGAAGCGCATGATCATAATATTACAGATAACACGTTGACTGTTGTAACCAAACTCAAGGAAGTTCTCAACGTGTACATACAATACAAAGTCCAACCCTAGAAAGTTTTTTCATAATCTTGATGCTTTGGCTCCCAACATCAATCAAAGACGCAGTATACATAATGTACCTTGTAAGAATCAAGCTACAGCCAGTAGCAGAAAAAATATCCATTAAAATTAGGAGTTGCAAGAACATAAAAAGGAAAAAGGAAACTCTCCTCATGCTACAAACCTCCAAAAAAATCTCAGCAATTATGTCCAGAAAATTCAAAACTTCACAGGAGCAAGGATATCTAGCTGGGAGCCAAGTTTCTCCTCTGCGGTCTTCTCAGCCTTGACTCTTAGTCTAGTCAGCTGCTTCTTCCTATCATATGCCACCTGGGCCCTCTCTTTCCTCTTATTTTCTAGCTCCTGTAAGCAACAAAATAAGTTGCAAGGACAAGATGCCTCATTTGCTTGTCACATGACAATTCACATAACAAAAAACGTTCTGGTCCAATGTAATTATATCTCCATCAAGGAACCACAACTTGATAAGCATGCAGATATTCTATGCAGGAGACATCGTAGTGTGATGTTTAGTTACCATTATATCATCAACTGAGATAACTATTTATTAAACAGGTATTGTAGTTTAAGTAAAAAAGATCATAAGCTCAAAGCAAACTTTGTTCCAGAGAAAATAGCACTAATGAAACACGCTTTTGGAGAACAATATTCAGAACACAGTTGGAATGGACAAAGCTTGATACATAAAACTGAGAAAGCATAAAAGCTTGTGGTCATTTGGCAATTGGCATCTTGATATGAAGTCAATAATAGCCTAAAGAAACACTGTAATTTCGAGAGGGATTGGTTACATCTTAGCAATGTCATTTATGAGATAACATGAATACCAGTAGGCAAAACAATGCAAAAGCTAGAATAATGGGGTGAAAACAAAACCCAGAAATATTCAACTATGGCACTCGTAACAACTTTGGGATGATCAAAAACAAAACAATCATTAGTGAAAATCAAGAATCGGTGTTCACAACAGTTTCATGTAATCACATTATGCCAGGAACAGAGAAAAGAAGTCCAATAATCAATGTCATTTATCTGTAAGTGCAGCCATACCCAAATGAAATAAGGTTTTAAGACAAATGCCAGGCTTCTGATGATGCTTTAAGCAATAAACAAATACGAAAACCGATTACTGCTCTTCAGCAATAGATACAAAACACGGGCTATATTTATATCTGTCTGAATGAATATAAAGCAATAATCCCCCTAGAAAAAGGCAAAATAATTGCCCCATAATATAGAAAATACAGAGTTTCAGTTACCATACAGAGTTTGCCACGGGAACATACAAGAGAGAACCCATCTGTTACCTTAATGGTGTCATAGTGGTTCCACCCAACCTCGCTCGACAGCCGCCCCAACAAACAGTACTTGTGCCCAGCCTGAAGCCTCAAAACCCTAATTTCATTACACAAAACACGAAACTTCAAAATCAACACAACAAAAGATCATAATACCCAAAAAAAAAAAATGGATTCCAAACTTTCAGACCGCAACTTTTTTTCTTCTTTTGCAACAACTTATCAAAACAAAACCCAAAGAAAAATCCAAGAACTCACTTGGGAGCATCGGGAATGACCATCCTCTTCATCTTATCGTATGGAGGTGGAACACCGTCGTACGCCTTCAACCTCGCCAGCGCCGCTGCCCCCTCTCTTCGTCTTATGGGGAATCATCCTACAAAATCCACCAAATCACACAAAAATACATCACATGCACATAGATGAGAGAGAGAGAGAGAGAGAGAGAGAGAGAGAGAGAGATAAACGGACCCTCGAATGGTGCGCCAGAGGATTTTAGCAGGAGCGCGAAAGTGAATAGGACCATGAGAGGGCTTCGTATTCATACGCTTGCGGAGGAAGCGGAGGTACTTCATTTTCTGGCGAACGAGGCCACCGGAGAGGGCAATCTCTTCGCAGCGTACCACCACCACTTTCTGGCCGTCGAGGAGTTCCTTCGCCAAGATAGACGCCAGACGGCCCGCGCGCAGATTCCCGAGCCGGACACCATTCTCCGTAACTCTGTTTGAGGTACTAGGGTTTCTTCATGGTTTAGTGATCGTTGACAGTTTAAAATAACCAAAACACCCCCAAGGTAGCTTGTCTTTCTTTTCAGGAGATTAGGTCGAGCCCAGTCGAGAAAACTGGCAAGTGACATTTAATGGGCTTCAGTAAGGTCGAGCCCAGTTGAGAAACCGACAAGTGAGTATAGATAAGAGAATTAAACGAGAGCCAGAGGGATTGTTGCCAAATCTCAGTCTTGATTCACCGTAATAATAAATGCTGCTGCATAATAACTTTGGAGTAGAACTATCAGTACGATGAGGTTAGTGGATGACCAACGCTCCTGCTGCTGTAGTTGGACTTTAAAGAACTACTACTGTACACTCTCAATTCACCGTAATAAATGTTGCATAATGGAGTAACTTTAGAGTTGATGAATGGTCAATGTCAGCGGATGGATGACCATCGTTCTTCAAGTTGAACTTTAAGGTAAAGCCTTGATTTCATAATTCTCTTCTCCTGCTTCACCAAAAATCTGTCAAGATATTCAAATATTTCTTCTTTTATATCGTGCTACCTTTTATAAAAGGGTGTAAATCGTCTTTTAAGAAGAACGATATGGCTGCACATTATCGTGTCGTTTACTTTAAAATAGTATCATTCGTAGTTATTGTTATTTAATGAAGAAATAATGGAGGGTGGTTTCCAGACGTTGGGTTTTTGGGATGGGACTGCCCAACCAACCAACCATCTTTCTTCATTGATTAATAAAGTGGTGGAGCAGAAAGTGAATGCATAGCATAGCAAATTACTACTATTGAAAACGAAATTCATTACCCCACCTCATGATTTAAATTTTGAGACCTGGGTTGGGTACTCTCTGCTTTTGGCACAGGTCCTGGTTTGGTGAGATAACCTATTTTTAACCCAATTGCAGATAGAGTTAGTCAAATTGTGTCTAAGATAATTCGGACATTTTTGATTAATTTTTTTTTTTTTTTAAAATAAGGCCTGACTAAGTACCTTATTAATATCAACAAATTCATTTATAATTTTGAATAATGCTATACAATTCAAATAAAATTTAAAAAGTTGTAATTCAAATGTACATCATCTTTTGGATGAGTGAGTTTCATCAATTTTTTAAATGAGATCCGCTAATCGAACAATCATCTAACAGATGATATGCATTTAACTTAAAAATTTTTAAATTTTATTTTGATTGTATAATATTTTGTGTGGCCCATGACACGTGAATTCAACTTTAGGACAAACAAAAGGCCAAAAATAAATTGGCAGTAGGGTCGGCAATTGTCTTATTAGTTCACAAAGGAGAGATTATTAATGCTCCATTTAGTAGGAAGAAGGATACACTTTTATTTATTTGTGTTTGGTTGGATGGATAAAAAATAAAAATGATAATTTTTTTTTTTTTTTTTTTTGTTGGCTAAGATTAGAAGTGACAATCGAGTCGTGTTGTATCAAATTCGTGTTGAGTCATTACAGGTTTGAGTCGAATATTAGTCAAACCTAACTTAACTCATTTAATTAATTGTGTCGTGTCGAGTTGCGAGTTGACCTTTGTATTTTCGTATCGAGTTCAAATCGTGTCATCGTGTTGAGTATAAAATTTTCACCCTTAGTTAAAATGGAAAAAATATTTTTTTTAATTTTTAATTTTTTTAATATATATATTTATATACATACATATTTTACCATTATATTTTTATATGAAATTAATGTATACATAATATATGTATATATAAAAAAATACATAGACAAATAAGATACATCTAAACACAAATAATTAATTTTTCATCTACTTTCCATCTGATTTTGGAGGAATTGATTTTTGTGAGTTGGAAGGAAAGTTAATTCATCCACTTTTTCATCTTTCCTACTTTTCTTATTTACCAAACATGATGTTTTATTTATCCCTCTAATTTTTTATCATCCCAACTTTCCATCTTCTTACTTTTTCATCGTACTAAATAGAGCGAGACTTATGAACTCAAACAAACACACCTAGAATTTTTATGGATGATCAAGTGGTCAAATTTATTCAATACTTTTCATATTTTTTAAGCGTCGGTCACCCTTATTTCTCAAAAGACATATTCTTAAACTAGTTTGAATTATGATAATTTGTTTAAAATCACGAGAAAATAATCAACACAAGTTTGAACACCATAAAACAAAAAAAAAGATAAAAACACTGTAATTTCAAGAGGTTGTTATATCAAGGAAGACTATGATACGAACGAAGTACTGTACTAAAAGTCATAACATTTATAACTTTTATGAGAAGATGTAATTACTTATGACTCAAAATGACATAATCGATCAAAAATATTTATAACTTTTAAAAACTAAATTATAACTCAAAAAATAAAAGTTACAATTAACTAAAGTAATTCATGATTGTTCACAATATTTCTAAAATTACCCCCAAACACCGTAATTTCATTATATTTTCAATACGATACCATATTTTTTTAAATGGATTACTATCCTATTATAATATATCGTTTTTACTTAACGTGCGGTAGCCATACATCGCTCTGTTGTCCAATATGATTATCCCGATAGGAAATCATTGAATATTTTAGTGGTTCTAAATATGATCTAATAATTTTTCACACGACACTCTGATTTCAACATTTCTTACATACTTACATTTTTGTTCAAAAAATAAAACAACATAGTTACATTAGCATCTTTGTGCATACTTGTAACAAGACGAAGATAATCTTTAGGAGTGGTATTGTAGTTGAGTTTGATTTTTGGTAATACAAAAATTTTATATTCAATCATTTCTCGCACGAGTTTAGAAGGTTATTATACAATTTTCACAAAATTCACTCTAAAAATCGCATTCAGATTCCAAATCCTCGTACCAACACATGCCCTTAAAGATGTACTTTAACTTAGCTCAAATCAGTAGACTATATTCCTTTGTTTTCCTTTCCTTTTTGACTGCCATAATTACTTTATTATATATCCCCATCTCATTTTCTTTCTTTCTTTTTTTTTTTTTTTGGCCTTTTTCTTTGGTACAAACCATGAACATCAATAAACTGAGATTCTTCGTAACTAACATTTGGTTGGACTTAATTTTGGACAACAATTGATGGGGACTTATTCCTCCTCTCCCCAAAACCCCAAACCCATCTACCTATAGTATATTTAAAATTCCTCTCAAAATTCATTCTCTTATCAACCATTTACTAAATTAACAAAAGCCATGATTGTTAGCTTTTATGAGTTGTTATAATGTTAAATTATTTTTTTAGATATTCCTTTTCACTTTATTCCTAAAAAAACACAAAGATTTTCTCATTCATATTTGCCAAAATCTTTTAGTGTTAATGTAACACGCAGTTAATCTTAATGGATAGTTCAAATGGTAACAGAAATAACCTTTAAATTCAAATGTCTTGAATTCGAATTTTGGCAATTCATTGGAATCAGATCATGATGAATTTATCCCTCGTGAATACCTTAGTCTCGGTGTAGATGACCTACTTTTAATNGTCTTGAATTCGAATTTTGGCAATTCATTGGAATCAGATCATGATGAATTTATCCCTCGTGAATACCTTAGTCTCGGTGTAGATGACCTACTTTTAATTAGACCGAGGAAGAGATTAATCGAAATATGAGTAAATTGGACTAAACACTTTTGACTGTTAAACAAAAATAAAAATAAAAATCACAAACAGTTAAGTTATTACGCAAGAGATTGAGACGTTCAGCGGGACTCTGATAATCTTGATATTGTGTTGATCATCGATTAATAAAATTTATACCCATTTTCCAGAAAAAATAGTGGCAAAGAGCACTTAGATCATATAGGAGGGACACAAGTGCAAAACTAGCATACAACAAAGTTATAAGGGATAATTACACTCAGGCTCCCTACAATTTGTCACTTAATCACTCAAACTCCTTGACATTTAAAATATTACAAACAAACTCTCTGAAATTTGTACGCGCATAACACTTAGACCATTGTTATAAATATATTCGTTAATTAATTATATTTAGACCCCTTAAATTTAAAATATTATACTTAAATCAAATATATTTCAATCAAATATTTTAAATTTTATAACAAAAATTTATGTTTTATTGTATCATTTATTGAAATAAAATTAAAAATTTAATTTTTTCTTAAAAAATCATAATTAGTATACAATTATACTATCTATTGGAATAAAACTAAAAAAATCAAATAAGGGGTCTAAGTCATTCATAATAGAATATAAATTTTACATCTAAATTCATATTCTATNTTTTTTCTTAAAAAATCGTAATTAGTATACAATTATACTATCAATTGGAATAAAATTAAAAAAGTCAAATAAGGGGTCTAAGTCATTCATAATAGAATATGAATTTTACATCCAAAATTTATGTTATATTATTTCCTTTATTGAAATAAAATAAAAAATAAAAGTTTAATTTTTTAAAAAAAAATTATAGTTAATATATAATTATACTATCTATTAAATATTCAATGTAATAGGTATATTATATCATTATTGTCACACAGTATAATTGATCAATTATGAATAACTATAGAAAATTAGTGAATCCCATCAAACACCAATAATTTTTACATTCGATTACTGATTAAATGATGGATTTAGAAAGAGAATGAATAGGAACAATCGCACGTACCCGTCTTTTTACAAACACTCTCAACCACATAAACTTACCCTTACTTTTTCAAGAATTTAACACTCCCCCAAGTCTAAATTCTTGGATCCGTCCTCGTACAGCCTCCTACCTCTCAATAAAAATATGCATGCATACCTATTAAGGTTATACAAAAGATGTCAAACTTATAATAAAATAAAATGTCAGACGGCTATAAAGAGATGCATCATTTGTGTATACAGAATTTTGGTGTCTCAGTACATTTACCCAAGTTGCAGACTTGCAGGCTGCCGCTCACCTTTCATTATTATCCCCCATAGTTCTCCATTCACTAGAGTTAAATCCGCTTCAATTTAATTTCTCTTCAATTCTCTTATTTGAGTATCTCCTATCATGCATTTCATGGAGACCCATGGTACACAAGTAGGTCACTCCCGCAGTCACGCATTAATGGTGAATTATCCGCCAAAAAAAAAAATTTGACGTATATATTTATTCGATGGGATCTGAATCCCATTCACCTACCGGTTGTAGATCATAAGCAAAAAACACACACACACACAAACACAAGAGCAAGATTACTGCACTATTGAACATGGAGGAATGGAAAATAGAAAATGGGCAANACACACACACACACAAACACAAGAGCAAGATTACTGCACTATTGAACATGGAGGAATGGAAAATAGAAAATGGGCAAAGGCTACACTTCCTCTATGGAAAGAATGATTAGGAAATGTAAAGGGATCAGTCTTTTTAGCCTACATTACAAACTCTTGCTTTACGCTTCAAAGATATGTGTAGTGGCACACTTTGTACCAGAGTGAAGCTAGTTATGGAGGCATTTCAGTATTAGGCAGCGTGTGGATTAGCATGACCTTCCTTTGCCAATCTGTGAGTGAAAGATACTGGAACCAAGCAAAGCTCTCTGTTGCGCAAATTGAATTGTTTCCCTCCAGTTTCCTGTTAACAAATCCAATTTGTACAAAAAAAAAAAGAATGAGAGAGAGAGAGAGGTCAGTGTAAATTAGGCATGAAGTGATCAAAAGACTCTGACAACTGACTCATGTATACCTGTAACTGTGAGTGAAGAGGTCTGATGCTGACATATGAGGTACTCAGCGTCTCCAACAAATTCTGTAAACAAATCAACAGAAGCATAAATAAGTGAAAATATAGAATGAACTATGCATTATTTGTGAATCAAAAAACCGAAGCTCTCAGCTAAGAAGCTTTATGATTACTTTCCATTAAGGTTAAGTCGATGAAATATTTATACCTGAATTTGATCTTGAAGAACCTTGATAGATATGGAAGCCTCTTGAAGAACTGAAGCTGTGTCAGCCTGCAATTGGTCCACAACTGTCAATTTTGTAGGCTTTACGCCAATATAAGAATATTTCAACTTTAAGAATTAAATCAAGACGAATTGTTGCTAGAGTTCATATTGGTGCTTTGATCAAATTGAATAAATTGAACCTTAGAAGTAACAAAATTCAACAAGAATGTTTTGAAAAATGCACTCTAACTTCGAAAAATTCAACAAGAATGTAATCTTTTTGAGTTGCTGACCTTGCCATAAGGAGAAACCAGTTTCTGCAGAGCTGTAATTCTGTCACTTAGCTTTTGGCTTCTCCGTGCGGGCGCCTGAAACCACAAGCAAAACAAAATAGCTTCAGAACAAGATTTCCAAATTTCTGAATAATAATACTTCAATGGCTATAGCTCAGCTGATTGATAGTACATTGAACTTCTAGCACAGTTCACTAGCGAAAGAGGGGAAAGTTCAAGGAAATTTAAGTAGCCTGCAGGGTTGGTGGGTTAAGGAAGCCAATGGTTTGAGACTTTTAACTAAGCTATATTGTATACATACTCTTTGGGTTTCCATTCTCTCTTCCTGGATTGTGGTGTGCCCCTGCTCTTGAAAGCAAAGTTCCATCTTCTTATTTCTTGTACCTTCATTCAGCGCAGATTTGTTGCCCACCAGTTTACTAGAGTTCCTTTTAGATACGAGCTTAGTAATGTCAATTGGACGTTTTCTTGAATTTTGTATGCCCTGAAAGTCCTACAAAATTGAAGTGGGAGGAGGGGGAGATATAAGCCGGTTGAAGCTATTGTTCTATTGGACTAAAATCATGCAATGAAAGACAATATTTGGCTTCAATTCAAATCAAACATTAAACACAACACAGATTTGTGGTGTAAGGACTATCCATGAGGTTGACTCCACATGATATAATCCCCTGCTGAGATTAAATAGTCATGTGGGTGATGTCTCTCAGGCAACTCCTTATCATTTCCATCAATCGAGAAGTATTTGAAATTCAAAACCTATCTTGAGACACCAGCAAAGAGATTTTCATACTGAACTTGGTAATTCTACTATGCCACTCGTTAATTTTTACTATGGAAAGCATCAGCTATCGCAGGTAGTAAAGGTCTTAAGCAATGTACCAGAAAAAAACATTAGAATGAACGTTACTCAAAAAAAGTGCTTAAAACAGTTTTTTTTTAAAAGAATAGTAAAGAGATATGATCAGGCAAGATCTTATTTTATTGTGATGTGGACTGAGAGGCATAAACATGTAAAATAGATCTAAAACTATAAATTAGTCACTTCTTTCATTTCAGTATGCATGCTTACAGCTTGACATTGAGGAACTGGAAGCTTCTTGTTATGGGACAATGGCTTTTGAGGAATATCATAATCATAGGTACTTAGATAACCATCTCCTAACCAAGGGTAATCTAGTCCTTCCATTGTCATCAGCGAGGACGGCCCTGAAAATTTAAAGGATTGTAAATAGGCCTTATATAAATGATCAATTCATCAGCGAGAGTGGTTGAGATAGAGACGAAAAAATTGGCGAATAATTAGGCCTGCATGGAAAGAATATGTAATGCAATATAGAATAAGTGACTGATAGGGAGAGGCTCATCGAACCTGGTTGGCAGTTGAGGGAGAATTGAGACTGAGTAGCAAAGCCTTCACTGAGCTGGTTTTGACCACTGTACAATCTTGAATCCATACAGAAGCTAGCATAGACATTTCTATTGAAAAGTTTATATAAGGAAAGAAACATTAACATTCTTCATTTGTTCAGTCAATATTCCAGATATCGAATACTTGAATAAGTCTCTAAGTCTCAAATGACTTAAGATTTTTTATCATTTATCTCTCTCAAACCGTTCATAAGTGAGAGCGAGACATGAACCTAACAATAGGCTCCCTATATAGTAATATATACTTAAAACTGTCCTGCGCTTAAGGTTTAATTCTTATTATACTTCTGTCCTTCAACCTTTTCCACCTTTTTCTTTTTTTGATCCAAAACCTTTTCCACCTTGAAAATAGAATTGTTTGTCCTAATTTAAGAGAATTCTATTTCAAACCTTGCTTGGTCATTTTTAAACAAAGTATTATAACAAATTAAAAAAACACTTGGGGTGCAAACCAAATGCTTGATAGGACTTTCTGAACACATTTTCTTTCTCCTTCCGAGAACCGATTTGAGAATGATCTCTTTCTCAAACAAAGTGCTTGCTTGCAAATGTTTAAATTGTGAAGATAATAGGATGACATACACTTTGCCATCCATTTGCACTGGGATTTCAGTGATGATCGCATTGTTTCCTGAAATTAAGTATCAAGAACAGAATGCCAAAATCATTACAATATTAGACTAAATACCTATCCATTTAAGTCCAGAGTTTCTTGAATACTACCATAACTGTAAAGCTGTGATGAAACCGATGGTAAGATGGCGTTCTTCATTGCCAGGAACTGCAAATATCTCCGATTCAGGCAGATATATATGAAGCTGCTTATGACCCTAATTATATGTAAGCGTAATGATGCTGGGATCAGCAGCCTGCACCCAAAACTTTGGGACAGCTTCTAACAGCACCCTACAAAGAACTTCACAAAAAAAGTATATAACTTCACATTAGAAAGTGAATAGATTAAGTTATAACCAACACCTTTCATAATTAGTGCAGTATGGTTTCTAATTACAGGCCAAGGAGGTTCACAGAAAAAGTAGCACAATTATTTCAAGATGAAAAAAAATTGGGTATGGATGAACCACATACCAAAATGCAATATGAGATGTACAACATGCATAGAAACCTTTGAGGGCTCCATTTTCGTATTATTTAGAAACCACCATAATCAAATGATGATACCAGAAATAAAAAGTCAGTTCAGATCAACAGTTCAAATAGTGGACATGTCAGGCAGAAAATAGAATAGCCAGAGTGATCAATATAGTAATTAATAGACACATACCCACATACGAATTATACTTCAAAGTTCAAACCCTAATCTATGCTATTGAGAGAGAAGAGAATAAAAACTCATCAAACCCTAGTCTTTGCTTCCTCACCTCTGATCTGACCCACGGAGAAATCCAATCTTCCTTTAGCTAATCCTTTTGTTTGGTCACCAATGAGAAAAATATAAAGAGACTGTTGAGTTTAGAACTCTCTTGATGATGATATATCTGTATATGTGTGTGTGTGTGTGTGTGTGTATGATTTGGACTTGAAGGATTACTTGGAGTATAACAAGGGCAATTTTCCTTTCACATGGGAGTCCCGAAGGTCATAGCTCACCCTATTTAATGCATGGTCTGATGAGACGTCTGTGTAGAAGATGACGAGAGGATAGTTTTCTTACACATGAAGGGCGGCTCTACGAGTGTGTTCGAGTTCGCTTTCAATGTGTTTGACTTGTTTATGTTAAGAAAAACCTGACCGTCTGAGTAGAGATTCATGGAAACTCAAAGTTTTCGATTGAGACCTCTTCTATTTAAGGTTTATGTCGTAAAAAACAATGGTTAAGCAACAACCTCAACTCAACCGAGTCGGGTCTGTTGACTCAGTGGATAATTTTTTGAAGTTATAAAGTTAAGTTATGAGTAATTTATCATTTATGAATATTTTAATTCCCTCATAAATAGCCTGTTTTTGACTGAATTGAAGAAAAGATAAATCGAGATAAACATAAACTAACTTAAACACCCTTAGTTAATGAACATAGAATTGTTGTCATGCATGGTAAACACGTCAAAGGGTCTTTTTTTTTTTTTTATATGAATTGGATCCGAATTTCAATTCGATTAAATGTAAATGAATTGATATTTTCTATACTGATTATTTAGATTCAAACACAAGTATTTCACGATTTCAGATTATGCACCAATATCCAATTCGATTGCAATCTGAATATCTCATGGAGTTGAAATCTAGATATTATTTCCTAAAATTCAGCTTTAATGAAGTCATTTGAATTATAAAGAATATGAGCAATATTACGTAGACCTAAAAATAAACTCTATCCGTTAATCAGATTGAATTTTATAAACGGAGTTAGGAATTGAATTGGAAGAAATCCTATCCTACCCTACATAAACTCAATCCTTTTCAACTTGACTTAGTATTAATGGTAACTACGCCGTTGATTTTACGGCAAAATACTGTATAAACTTGACTTAGTTTAGCTCTATAAACAAGCTAGGATCATATGATGATAGTTGGTAAGGCCACAAAACGTCCTTAATCTACTTCTTCTGCCTTGTGACAAAAATATATGTAGATAATTATTTGTTCATCTGCAATTGTGGATGTGAAGTCTTCTTTTTTCCCTCCCTTTCCTAGTTAAAAAGCCCCTCATTTTTTTTATTGAGTGTGACCACGATTTTTCCAACCACGCATTTTTTGAACTATTACAAACCCACACAAATCACTCGCATTGAATCAATGAGGATGTTTTTTGTGAGAATCAAACTTAGAACTTCCAAATATTAATAATTTCGTCAAACTAGATATAAAATCTTCATAACTAAGATCTGAAAGTAAATGATATATGCGATCCCTGGGGAGAGGTACATGACTTTGGTTTGATATTATAGAGAGGAGATAACAAGATTCAAACTCACGACTTTAAGGTCCAACAATAATGATCATTAGGCTAACCGTTAACCTCAATAAAAATCACTTCAATTTATTTTTTATTTTCTTTTTCCAATAAAATAAACGTATACATATCCATCGCGAAGAAGCGTACCCACCTTAGTCATCAAAACAATTTAGTCATTAAAAGGCCTAACACAGATTTGAACACAACTCAGTGGACTATGTTGTATTACATTTCATTTTTAATATACTCTATATATTAGATGATGTACACGTGTGCTATGTGAACCATTTTGAACAAAAAAACAAAGGATTGCATACACATCCATCGCGAAGAGAAGTACTACACATTGGCTAGTAACACCGAGTTAAACCCAACTCAGTGGGACTCCTGGTATACCTAATGTATGTGATTTTATATAACCTAGGATATACTCTTCTCCTTGTCTTCCTTGCATGGTTTTTGTTGCTTGTCTCTGCATATTGGCATGGCTCTGTTGACCTCTCCACCATCGATTATACAAACTACCCTGGAGAGAAGATAAGACACATCACCTAATTTTTCAACTTCATTATTAATTCATTCTATTGAAATCTTCTACCGATCGATTGACTCTGTCTTGGCATCAAAGTCAACCAACAAGCTTCCTCCTTGTCTTTTAACTCCATACAAACAGTAGTTCTGCATATTTTTTGTAGTATATATGTATAGGATCCATCTCCGATTAACACATGTGATGATCGCGGATATCACAATTATGTTATTAATCAGCCTATACCAAATCATGATCCAGAACTGCGGATTTCTTGTAATATTCTCTCTATTTGGTTATGACTTCTTCCCCAGTTGATGCCAAAAGAGTCAGCCTGTCTTGTTTGTGACAACCAAATATTAAGCTTAAGCACTCCATGATGATGACATGTGGAACTGGCAAAATTGTTTGGAATCTGCCATGAAATCACCAGACATAGTTTCACTAAAAGATTTACTGAGTGGATCAGAAAATTAGACTACATAAAACATATATACATATGTGTGTGTGTGTTTGTTTTGCCAGAGAAAGAAGGAACAAAGGACAAGCAAATCAATGCTCATATGGATTGAGAACAACTGTGTTATGTTGGACAGAGAAAATGAGGAAATTATTTCCAGGTGTTTGAGAACAGGTTAAAAATGTAGTGTGGAAGAAGTATGTTCCAATGCATTGCTAATGATCAGAATAAAACATTAGGGTCCAAGAAATTTTTTGTAAGTTAGGTTTTGTATTCTATCTTAAACTTACTTGTGTTTAGACTTAATCACTCAGACTGTGCAAAGGTAGTATCTGTCTTGTCTATATCTACATGAATCTTCAATTATTAATATAAGGCTGAATAGAATAACTAGCTATGCAGGCCAGTTTATACAATTTTTATAACTTATAGTTTCCTTAATATTTCTCTTATTATACTACATGTGATGGCAGGCATATGCGCATCGGTGAGATTGTTTCATTATGATTCAGAGTCATAGGTTTGAATTATGAAAACAATCTCTTCGCTTTCAAGTTAAAAATGTGTGCATGTGATCTCATCAAATCTCATATGGCGGGGTTTTTTTTTCATTTTTTTTCTTTTCAGAATAAAGAAACAGACTCTCTATTTATAGGGATAAAGTTGCGTACATCTAACTCTCTCCAGACTTGGCAATGACAGAAGTCTCGTACACTAGGTATGTCTTTTTTAGTGGTATAGCCCTTGATTAATGTTCCAGAAACCTAATTAATTATCACTGTTTGTGATCATTGAACTCCATATATATAGTTAATTGCCAGAAGATTCTAATTATTTAATTGTTCATATTCCCTTCTTAAACTGACAAACACATTCCAACAAGCACCATACCAGCAACTTTGGTTTTGGATTAGAAAAAAAGGTTGACAACTGTACGGTGTGAAAGAAAAACAGCAATTGGATGCTTCTTTATTATATATATGTATATAATACAATGCCAAACATTGAAGCATATTAGGACTAAGAATCTAAGACAAATCAAAGTGATTAGACTTGAACTCAAATCCAAGCATAATCGGATAATATTTTGACCTATGATTTGCTCCTTGTAATAGAAAAATATAAAAATCCAGGCAATTGATCATTGTCATGGGTGGTGCTAGATTAAGACGTTAGAACTAGGTTAATCGAGTCAAATTTTGCGAGTTTTGAACCTAAACCTGTCAAGCTCTTTTTTTCAAATGAGCCTACAAAATTTTTCAAACTCGACTTGTTTAGAAAATGAATCAAGTCTAAATAACTTGACTATTTTACATATAAACGAGTCAAGTGAAAGTTTGAACAGAGCCTTTTAAACTCATTTTTCTAAATGAGTCTAAAATAATGTTCAAACTCAGTTGTCGAGCTCGAACCAAGTCTTATATGAGCCAAGTTGGAGTCGAGTCAAAATAATTCGTCTTAATTAACAACCCAAGTTAGAACGTCCAATAACACATGAAGCACCAGCAAGATGCTGATGAACTCCCAAAGTTGGAACCTAGTTATAATTACTATGGTAAGTATACTTTTTTGTCTTTTTGTTTTTTTCTTTGTTGAATTTTCTTTATCTAGTTTTGGTCCCTTCTCTAACCTCAATCGCATGTATAGTAATATGTAAATGACACATACTTGAGAGTATCATTAAGATCAATTTCATAAAATAATAGCCAACACAGGCTTTCACTCTTTTGATGAAATTATTTTTTAATAGGTGTTTGGTTGATCAGAAAGTTCAACAGTAAGACATTCCATACAAATCATTCTAATCCTCTAACTGATCCTTCTCTCAAATTCCATTTGTAAAACGGTACCAAGAGATGTAGTGAGTTTGAAGTCTCTTTAAATGCTGCAGATTTGGTACATTATACACACCTTACCATTACAATGTATGTCCATGGCTGTAGTTCTAGAGAATGTCTGTCATAAAAAAGATTAATTTTTTAGCTGTATCAAACCTGTTGCATTGAACTTTATATATAAAGACTCAAAGTAGTCCTTAGGGTTTGGCTGCATCATGGGTTGGAGGTACAGTTGGCAATCCAACCCACCAGTTTTATAGTTCAATTTTTTTTGGCTTCTTGTCTGTTGGAGATATTTGTTGTGTTCCCTTCGACCTCAACGAGTGAGTTCAACATGAAACAAATTAAGTTTTGTTTCAATTTTTTTAGTTTTAATGCTAGCCTGCATTGTCGAATGTTTTCATAGTGTTGGATACTTAGAATGTTTTCATAACAAAGAATTCTTTCAATTCGATCTCATCTTATGTATACAATCGCCAAAAAATTCTCGCCTAAATCTTTGTTCATTATCATTTTGAGTATCGAATCTCTTTCATTTGGTTTGAGTGAGAAAATCACATTACATAAAGTCATACTAACCACCTGTTGTTAGTCTATCATCTTCAAAATGGTGCCGGAATTGACAAATTAGAATTATATGATCACCGTTGTTAAATTTTCCCAGTTTTTCTTGTACTCCTAATTCTTGTAGTTAAACATCCCTTATTCTTAAATTGAACCAACCTAAACATACACCAAATTAGCACTCATCTTCATCTTCATTTTCCTCTCTCTCTCTCTCACACACACACACACACACCCCTTACATACGAGTAAATATTCAATACAATAATGACACAACGTCATCAATGTCATGTGGTATCACCATCCAATAGAAACACATAAAAATAGATAAAATAGGCTTAGACTCTTAGCTTCACTCACACATATAGTGCACAAGCACAACACACGCAAATATCACACACACACACACACACATATATATATATATGCGTGAGAGAGATAGAGAGAGAGCACTAGTTGATCGATGGTTTGGTGGTGGTATTTAGGTCGTTGGTATTGTTGGATGGCCGAAGAAGAAAGAAAGAGACTATTTTTTGCCAATATCAACAAAGTTGTAGCACTATGGCTGTTCTTGGATATTTTTAAGGACTTATTTTTTTTGGCCCAAATAGGCCTGGGCTTTTAAGCCCATCAATCTTGTCAAGTAAAGGGCCATGAAACTTGAGGGCTTTATGTAGTATGGGGTCTGTGGGCTTAATTCCAAGGAGGGGCAATTCAGTAATTGCAACTGTGAGTCCCAACTTCACATACTAATGCGCTAGGGTTTTTTCGGCGAAAGAAACCCTAGCTCTCCCACTCTCGCTTTGAGCATAAGCGTCTCAGTAGCTTCTGTAGATCTCTGCTCTGTGGTAAGTTTCAAGTCCCTTCAATCGAAGCTTTTCGATATCTTCTCATTTTGTTTGATTGGTTCTATGATTGCGTATCACGAAGTCTGATTCGATCAGTTCCTCTTCGTATTCAACATTTTTTCGATTCTTTTTTTACTTAAAGCTGATTGAATCAAATGCATTTAGACATTTTTCTGTTGTAATATATTTTTGTATATGTGCGTGTTTTTATATTTGCATCAATTGATGTATACCTTTTTCTTTATACGTTTTCGATATGCATGTACATTCAACAACTACATATGTGTTTGGTTTGTGGTTTAGAGACTTGAAAGTTTGTGGTTTTCATGGTCAGACCAATGGAGAAAGAGCTAAAGCTTACTTTTCTGCCTGATTTGAATGGTCTGTGCATTGCTTAATCTATGTTATATCTTGCAGTCGAGTTATAGCTAAGAAGACTGAAGTATTAAACAAAAGTATTCGTGGTAATAGAAAGTAGTCTGCTTTTGCATTAGCAGTTTAGTGGTTGTTTTGATTTGGTTACGATGTAACTGTTTTTTTATGGTTATGATATTTTTATGCTCTAGTAGTGACTTCTTTTTGTTGATGTATGGATATTTTGATGTTTTATTTTATGGTGTATATCCTAATAGTTCTCGTGGTGGTTGTTTGATTCTAACCGTGTCCAAATTGAAAAAGTCTTTTTTCTAATCTCTAATAGCTGGTTCTTTTGAGTCCGTGGAATGTCATCACCTGTTGCTTTATATTATACTAGATCCTGTGGTTGGTTGGAGGTATACTTGGGTTATATTAGGCTGGAACTAGAGGATGGACTCTGTTTAAATGTCACAAGTAGTTGAGAGATGCCTCTCTGGAGTCTCCATTGTGCAACTGCCTGTTGGATATAATGCTGTGTAACTCTGCTCCTTGGACTTGTGGTGGTTATTTTTTGACCAAATTATATATTTCATTGATTGAAATGGCAAGCATGGATGTCATATGTTGATTATTTTACTTTAGGTGCTTTGCATGCAACATTATGATTATGCATTTATTGATTCCTTGCTTCAATTTGGCTGCAGTCTTAGTAGCGAAGATGGTGAGAGTTAGTGTGTTGAATGATGCTCTCAAGTGCATGTACAATGCAGAGAAGCGGGGAAAGCGTCAAGTCATGATTAGACCATCCTCTAAAGTGATTATCAAGTTTCTTCTAGTGATGCAGAAGCATGGTATGATCCTTTGGTTGTATTTTATAGTGCATGGTTTTTTCTTTCTACTTTCTAATCTCACCATCTTATTAATTCGGTAAGTCAACTCGTTGATTTTGACTTGTAGGATACATTGGAGAGTTTGAGTATGTTGATGATCACAGGTCTGGGAAAATCGTGGTTGAACTGAATGGGAGACTGAACAAATGTGGTGTCATCAGTCCTCGTTTTGATGTGGGTGTCAAAGAGATCGAGGGATGGACTGCAAGACTGCTCCCCTCAAGACAGGTTAGGACAAAAACACGGTTAACTAGTCTCTGGGATGCCATCTGTTGAGGGTTGTAGATATGTATGTTTCTTTTGGTCTTGTGAAGCAATAGCTTGCACGGCACTATAGCAGAACTGGAGATCATGCTAGCTGAGCCATTTGAATAATCATGGTCATTTTCTGGTGGGAGGGGCACTGATTGAGGATTATTTCTTTTGCACATCTTATTATTGATGAGATTATATTGATTGCTTTACCTTTTGAATTTGAATTGTTCATGAGGTCATTATTTGGCACTTGCTCTGGATGATACATGGATGTCTCCATTTCGTTTCACTTTTTGTTGTAGCTGCATACTAGTGATTGGGAAATGAGTGGAGTAGGCTTCATTATATACTGCTGGTAGTTGTATTTATGATATCGTCTGTTAACCATTATTGTCTGGGTACTTGCAGTTTGGATACATTGTGCTGACTACTTCTGCTGGCATCATGGACCACGAGGAGGCTAGGAGAAAGAGTGTTGGAGGGAAAGTTCTTGGTTTCTTTTATTAGGCTGTCTGTTTTGGAGATGAATTCAATTTTTAAGCTTATTCGGAGTTTGTTGGTGCACATTTGAACTTGTTTGCAGCGGGAATAGTTCTATGTTTGTTTAATTCTGGTTTTCTTCAAAGGCGAGAAGAGTTTGTTACCTGCACTTTTTTAAACAGTAATTGTTTTTTAAGTCTTAATTTTGGGAAAAAGAGCAGTTAATGTTTGTTTTTCTAGGATTGAGGATGAAAAGCATTGGGCTTGGATTGCTTCTCAGTTCTCTTTTGGTAGTAGGACATGCGTGTTTGTTTCTATCTGCAAGCTTAGATATAAATGTCAATTGTATGAGCTTGAACTCGAACTCTGGTAATACTCTGGATTGTTTTGTTTAGTGTTAGTTTCGATAATCGACCACTGAAATTTTGCCTAAAGCTCCCTTGCTTTTATACAGAACAAGCACTTCTCGACAATTAAGGTGTTCCATTAACCTGTTATATTTCAGTGGGAAGCGTAATCGTATGAACTAATGTGCTCAGGGATGTTTGGTTGAATAGTTGATTCATGTTGGAGACAGTCCCCATGTAATGACACTGTATCCAACTATGGATGATACAGTGCGATGGGTGTGTATTACCACAGGCAACCTATAAACAGTGTGATTAGCCAAGCCTTGGTGACTCTGGCTAAACAACAGCATAACAAGGGTACTCCAGCAATGGGAAGCTCCGCAGATTAAGCAAAAATCTCTTGGCAACCCCCTCCACAACGATGGCTACAGAAACTGTTGGGGCATGTCAGGACTCGAGAGAGACACAAGAAAGGGATATATGAAACTAAAATATTATTTCAGTGCATTGTTTAAGTCACTCAAAAATCAAAAACATGTTGGAAAACGTTGTAAACAACAGAATAGAAGTGGATGAAAAAAATTGTATTTATTTTCAAAATATTAGTCAAAACATAATTAAACATCTTAAAATATTAGTTGAAATATATCTTGAAATATTTTGAAACACATAAAAATATTAAAATTTTGATTCAATTACTGATCCATTTCGATTTCTTGGAAACAAAAGCATTTTGGTCATTTCAATTGTTTCGAAATTAAGTCTATTAGAAAAAGAAATAAATTAGGATAAGGAGCAAAAATTCAGTACTATATGTCATGGGCCTGGTCTATGTGACACCACTTGGGCCACAACTGCTTTCTCTAATCCAATTTTGAAAGGGTGGGATTATTCTCACCCCTTAAATCTCTTTTTTAATTTCTTTTAATTACCTTATTTTAAACTATTAAGTTCACTTCGTTTATACTCATCCCATTAGTTACTAACTTCACCCCATTTATACTTATTCAATTAAAATATTAAATATATGTCAAAAAAACTGAAACAAAAATAGTAATCGAATTCAATATTT